ACTATACAGTGTTTTTAACAATGCTTTGATCCTGTAGACTTAACAAAGTTTAGTAAGTATACATTGTATATCCTTACTATACAGTGTTTTTAACAGTGCCTTGATCCTGTAGTCCGAACAAATTTCTTTTTTTTTGTATATTCCATTTAGATACCTAAATTGTATTTGTTCATTTGAAGCTTCTGCAAAGTATAAATCTGTTACATAATACTGATTACATTTGTATAATAAGAAAGCAATATATGCCCTCAGGCCATGATAACCTGGTGGTTTGGTTGGTTGCCTTGGTGAATCAAGGATCATGAATTTGATACTTTTTTCCACCATACATGTTTGTCCTTTCATTGTAATGTATGGTCAGTAGTTGGAATCAGTCCCACTATTTGTAGGCAAAGGTTCAGCTCAAGAGTTGGGATTGGTTACAGTTGCTTTTCCTTCTGGTCGTCAGCTTCAAATTAGTAATGGTGGCAGATAGACTTAGTGGCTTTATCGTAACTTAAAGTTAAACACACACATCATGGCTGAAAGGATTAGCATGCTTGGTAGAAAAATAAAATAAAACTTGAATCACAAGGGAACCCCCTAATCACTGGTCATTCTGCTCAGAAGCTGAACAAGCTTGAATTAATAAAAAATCATATTATCAATATTTGGATTACTTAGATAGTTGGAATAATTGATATCAGTAATAATTACAGAAAAATAACATTGCCTGATGCTCCTAACTAATCAGGTTAATGACCTATTCTACAAAAATCAACCACAACTAAAATTGTAGTTTTCTTCACACAGTTCAACCTGTATGAGATGAGTTTCCCAGTAGGAGAGTTATTAAAACACCATGTGTAGATACATGTACACTCAAGTAAAACAAACATTACCATTAATATCTAGTATTATTCTTTTATAGATTGTTAATGTGAGATTTGTAAAGCTTGTTTAAATTTATAAGTTTTTAAGCTGATATTGGTTTTTCATTTCTGGTATGATTAGTATGTTATAATTTTTTGTGTTAATGATTATAAATTGTGTTATATTAGAGGATACTGTTGACATCTTTGTGATTTCTCTCTAGGTTATACTTCTTATCCTTGTGTGAACAACCAACAAAGCTTTAACAATTCCTCAACTCAACCAGCATCAACATCTCTACATTCCTCATCAAAACTAGGCAATGCACTGTCACATGGAGTCAAAGAACCGGTTCTGGAATCTCAACAGTCTTCTGCACAGGTACAAGTTTAAAGATGTTTAATAGAGCTATTGTGGCACCAAACTTTATGAAACTTGGGTATAAAATATAACAACTACATTAGTATACTGCTATGATATTTACCTTTACAAAGCTGTAGCTAACAAAGATTAAACATGCAGTAATTCTAGTGATAAAGCTCTTATTATAGATAATCCCATTCATTAGAGTTGCACAGTCAAAATGATCTAGAATTATTTATTAGTAGGCTTAGTTCTACTTAGCTTCAAAAAGTGAATTGTTTAATACCATCCATGTAATTATTTTTATATGTAACTTTGTAATGGAAATGACTGAAAACAATTTACATGAATTGAATAAGTTTGCTCGTAAGTGGAGAAGAATGTGTCTGGCTGATTGGAACTTTTATACCATGAAATCTACTAACATTTCATTAAGTGAAGCTACCTCAACACACAATTAGTCCAGTATTTGAACCTATTCACGTGAGCTCGGTCAATTTGACTGAACTTTACTTACTATAACTGTGAATGTAGTAAGCTTCTGGTAAACATTACAAGTATGTTTTACACACTCAGTCTGATGTTTTAATAAAGTATTCTTATTAAAGTTTGAGTGAAAGTGATTTTCATCTCACTGTTTTCATATTTCATTTGCATAGCTTCTAGAACTTTCTACGTTTGGTAAAACTTCATGTTTTCTCTATCCTAACACTATAGTGAAATCATTAATGTACCGTGATGTGAAAACATGAAATAAAATCAACACTACTTTTGAATGGCTGCAGACAGTAACAGACAATTAGAATTAGTTATCCTCATCTTCTAAACTGATCTATTTTATTTTCATTTAATAGTTTATCACTGCACTTTGAACCCTCTTTTGGTATGAAAAGCCAATAAGTTGGAAAGTAAGAGCTTAGGGTAAACATACAATAGGATTACTGGATGTGACATGTTCAACTTACCTTGTGAAATTTTTTAATTAATTAATGTTTGTTTTTTAAAGTTTTTTTATATAACCTAAGTACATACTACCTTCTATATTTTAGTTATGTTTAATATATATATTAAAAATAGGAAATTTAGCACTTATGTCTTAGTTGAAATGTTTCCCCTTGAATGGCATGCATTGGTAAATGTACTTTTCTCACTAAGATGATTTCCAAAAAATAGTTCATGTAGTTTTCAAATATATCAGACATTAAAATAGAATGACCCAAAACTGCTCTAATTTATCTGGCTTTTCTTTGTATCTCTAAGATACTCCCAGAGGTGTAAAAATGTATTATTTATGGAACTATAATAAAGGCTGCTTGAATGGGTGATAATACTGATACCTGATGATGGCAAAACCTTGTACATTTGTTTCTGTTAAACGTCTAATAAAGTTTTTATTCAAGCTGAAACACAAATTAGAAGAAAAGAAACCCTGTCAATCCAGGAAGGATTAAATGGTAGAATTTATGAAAGAACAGTCCTGTTATCGCAGTTCGTTGTCTACTTATGTGTTGACAGTACCCAGACTTTTCCTTTTATTAAACTTTATTTATAGCAATCAAACTTTGATTGAAGTGAAGAGCTAATGGAGGTCAACCTGCTTATTGGAGAAATAACAGTAAAAAATGTTCAAAAACTCCATTTCTCTATCTTTATTTGTTTTGGTGTTTATAATGTATCTATTCATAATGTGCATATGCCGGAGTGAAACTAATTTTATATATATATATTTCTACCAAAAAAATGACTTTCTTTTTATTTTCCATATTTGTTGCATTCTACAGCATTCATATGACACAACTCACACTACTAGTGGAAACGGTGGTCTGACATCCACCATGCCATCATCTACCACAACACCAACAGGCATAGCAGCTGCTACGATGGGAGGCACGGCAACTTTAGGGTTGGCCTCAACGTCTGTTGCCACAACAGCATCGGTTTTAAAGAACTCTCTCTCGGCTAGTAAGTTACTAGTAACCTTGTATGGATTCTGACAGATTTAGTTTAGTTACTTATTCTTTTTCAACTTCATATGAAAGTGAGATAGATTAGTTTTCTTTAACTGTATTTAAGATTAGCATTTGCACACATCTACTGGTCTTTGTAATTATATTTACTGGCATATATAAATGTGGAAACATACACACATTTGGATACTCAAAATATAGATATTACTGTGAACTTGGTTCAGAGCTTTGGTAATACCCCACACACACACACACATTTTACTTAGTTATAAACTAGACTAACACAAACCTTAAAAACAATAATTGCACATTCAAGTAAATATATTCTGTGTGTGTGAATGTAAATAACAGGAAGGAAATGATACGTGGATGAGGAAGGTAAAAACTGACATCCCAGCTGAGCTGATTCTGGTGAACCATGTAGAATGCAACATTTAAACCTATTTGTGATGTAATCCTTATTACTATAAGGCAGATTTTTATTGTTAATTATACTTGTTTTTGCCTAATCAGTTTAGGACTTGCTGTGTTTTTAAATATTAAGTAATGTTGTTTGGGTATGAGCCTAGGTTGAAAACCTAAAAATGACGCATAATAACAGTTGGCTTAGAATTATTTTTCAGTATTTATCTATGTCTGATATCTTTAATTATATTTGTCATGATGAATCTTGTTAAGTTTTAGAAGTATTTATATATTTGTTAAATCTTTAAATGGTTCACGCTTGCATTAATCCAATTTTATGGGTAAACTTTTATGTGGCTTTATAATAAGTAGTGTGTTTCATACAATTGAAGTGTGGTTAGATCATTCTCCCAAAATGTGATAATTACAATGTTTTTCAAAATAATAGCTAATGCTGCTGTAAAACGATAGTTAATACTAATTATGCAACAAAGGTTTTGTTATAGAATGTTGGTGATAAAATTAGCCATAGAGAATGTGTATTAAAAAATTGTTGGAAAAATGATCACAGAAATCCTGTATTAATATTAGGGGGGTGCGTATCTCATCATAGTAATCGATATGATATATTGATGACGTGATACAATACGTATCTAGATACAGAAGTTTTACCAATGGTTTGTTACAGAATTTGACAGTCTTGTCTCCAATTTATTATCTATATTACTAATATTGTCATATTTAAGTATTTCACACTTTACAGTGCTTTTTGAAATTCTGAAGTTTGATCAACTAAATGTCAGCTGACAAGAGAAGTAAAATAAAAAAAGCTAATATCTGTATCTATTTTATTATTGTTAATTTATGTTGCTTTGCATGTAGTACTCAATACTCATCTTCCTATATTGAATCATTAATTTTTAGTAAAAATACTTTATTAGAAATTCTGCTTTACTGAAAGCTTGCCAGATTTCGTGAAGATGCATAAATCATATCATATCGGTGCACATTTAATTAATATATTGTTGATGAAAATAGGCATAAAGGTTCTTTATTAAAACTATTGTTGATAGAGATAACCACAGAGATTCTATATTGAAATATTTGATAGAAATAGTTAGAGATTCCATGTTGAAATATTGTTGATAGAAATAGTTAGAGATTCTATGTTGAAATATTGTTGATAGAAATAGTTAGTGATTGTATATTGAAATATTGTTGATAGAAATAGTTAGAGATTGTATATAGAAATATTGATAAATAGTTAGAGATTCCATGTTGAAATATTGTTGATAGAAATATCCACAGATATTCTATGTTGAAATATTGTTGATAGAAATATCCACAGAGATTCTGTATTAAAATATTGTTGATAGAGATATCCACAGAAATTCTGTATTAAAATATTGTTGATAGAAATATCCACAGAAATTCTGTATTAAAATATTGTTGATAGAAATATCCACAGAGATTCTATATCTAATATAGATAATTGAGATATTGTTGGACTTTATATTGTAAACTTTATATTGAATAAGACTTAAGTTGAAAACTTCCTGTAGAACATTTTAATTCACTTTTCCTCTCCGCAACTTGCTCATGATAGATTACCTTGCAGCAGGAAAAGCCATGCCAAACATTCCACCAGGTGTCCCACCAGCCATGTTAGGGCGCCAGTACATCATGAGTCAGGCGGGTTTGCCCTTCTACGTAAGTACCGTGGCTATTGATACATAAAAATATTATCTCATAAATGGTTGGAATATTTTGAAGGTAACTAAAAGGAAAATTTTGTTATAAATGAAAGTTAATTGTTTCTATATATGTAATGTTTAATATAAATTATTTAAAGCAGTTCAAGTTCTTTCCAGTAGTATTTTCTGTTTTTTGTGTGGTAATAAATAAGAACTGTTTCTACAAGTATTTCAAATTGATGAACAAATAGTGTTGTCCTCTTTGATCCAGTATTCTATATTTTTAAATTTAAAATGTAGCACATTGTCATAGTGTTTACTCTTCTTACAGTCAATGAAATGAATAAAACATGTATAATGTTCAAAAATTTTCCGCATCTCAGAATGCAAAATAGGCTATGTCCAAGTTAGTGTCAGATTATTGATGGAGGAAGCTATACCAAGGAGGACATATTTTCTGTGTGTCTACCAGACACAATGTGATGATGCCTGAGACCCGCTTTAGTTGTTTTATTTTTCTTGCCTTTATTTATGACTTTGTTTCTTATTTTGAAGGGCTTGCAGCAGCCTGTATATAGTTACGAAGATATGCAGATACTGCAGTCCAGATTGCCGACATTGGTATGTTGAAATGCCATACTGTATGTCTAGTGAGTCTTTCCGCTGTTCTAATGTTTTCTGCAATAATTGGCTTCAACAAGCCTGCACTCTTCAACCCCGTAGCTTCTCTTACCATCCCTGTGTTCATTTATCCTCAATTCTGCAATCTGCAGCCACTTGTAGTTTGCAGTTTCAAAATTTTTAAAATCTCTAGAAAATGTTGAAAGAACTAAAATCTGGATTGCATTTAGTATAGATTAAAAGTTCATATTTTTCCCTAGATGTCTGTTTACTTTTGTGTACAAACCAGTAGGGTATGTGTGAAACTTGACTAATGTATTCTTGTAAATGTTAATCCAAAGTATTTCGTGTAATGTTTACAACTTTTTTGTTTTATGCAGTTGGTCGTGAACCAAGGGTAACCAGTGTAAGTTAAAACTGGGAATGGGTGAACCTCCATTGTATGGTAGTTATTATGACAAAATAACAACAATTATATACCATTAACCTAGGCACTATTTCAAATTTTGAAAAATGTATTAAAACCTTACAAATGAGTTATTTTTCGTATATCTTGATGACAGTATGCAAGTTTTATCATTTAAGTTTTAGTACATTTGTAGAAAAACCCTGAAATCTGGCATATAATTGTAGCCCACATTACCCCCCCCCCCTCCCAAAAAATAAAATAAAGCTCCATACTATGGGCTGTGGATGTGTTATAAGAGTAATGGTCAAATCCTATTCATTCAGTTATAGTAATGGTTGGTGTTGACTATGTGCATTCCCTCTTAATCCGTCACTTCAGAATTAGGGACAGCTAATACGGATACTTTAATTTTAGGTATTAGACACACATCAAAAAACATCTCTTTCCAAATTATTTCACATTGACTTTTTTTTTAATTGGGTATTGTGGGAATCATCGCTTTTATTAAGGATTTTGATTCTACAAAATTTATAAAACTACAGTGGACAAGTAATAAGATAAAGTAGTGTGTCAAACATCATTTTTGATGTTAGAAAAACACATAGGTTCAGGAAGTCTTGATAGAAATGAATAAAAACCCTATAACCCCAGTGCTTTTGAAAGGTGGACCTTTCTTCTTCAGGGGCAAAGAAGAAGAAAGGTCCACCTTTCGAAAGTGCTCGGGTTATAGGGTTTTTATTCATTTCTATCACAACAACATTTTGGATATTTATGACCTACTGTAGTGTAGTATTAATGCAGTGAACATAACTCCTACTTATAACGTTATGACTTGGTGATACAGTGAACATAACTCCTACTTATAACGTTATGACTTGGTGATACAGTGAACATACTCCTACTTATAACTGGTGATACAGTGAACATGACTCCTGCTTATAACACTGACTTGCTATACAATGATCATAACTTCAGCCCATAACATTAAGACTTGGTTATGCAGTGAACATAACTCCGACTTGTGTCCCAAGATGGTGGGTTTCTCAAACAAAAACTTGAAAATTGATACAATGACTGGCTAAGAATGTAGTAAACAAGCAACATAACTATTTTTTTTATTAATGCAGTGTCAACTCTAGTAACTGCTTTAATAAAAGTTGAGGGTGATTGTATTGAAGTGCCTTGTTAAGGTATGTCTTCACTGAATAAATTATGTTACTTGTGAAGCTAAGTGTCGTAAACAACAATCGTTTCAAAGAGTCTAAACATTTAAAAAGGGGTGGGACTCCATGAAAAAGCTGGTTAACCTAACTTCACAAATGCAACCAGATAACAAAACATTAATACATTAGTCTGATTAGATTAGATGCTATTTTAACAAGTCGTTAAGTTAATTGCAGTGCCATCTTTAGCTTCTCATTGTTTTCTGCATAATGAAAGTTTTTCATAAATTAAAACCTGTTGCTTAATATTTTCTGTTTCTTTTGTTTGGTTGAATGACAGCATTTGCTCTTCCTAATGTATTTTTGCTGATTTATTACTCTGTGTATATTATGTTCATAACATAAACATCTTTTTTAATACAATCATTTAATGAAAACACTTCATGCAGCTGGTGATATTAGTGTATTTTTGTGTTTCAGGGTTATTATGACATGCCTTTCCAACCTACAACAAGTTTAACTGGAAGAGACCCAGGGCTTGGCAGTGTAGCATACACAGGTTAGTTTTCCAGTAACAAACCTAGGATTTGTGGCATGTTTAACCCTAGTCTAGCTATGGACATTTATTCCTGCACATCTCACAAGGTTTTACTGAGTTACATTTAACAGTTAATTAAACTACTTTCTTATGTGGTACACGAATAAACTTGGCATAAAAACGAAGTTAATAATCCAAGTTTTAATGTATAAGTTAATTTTATAAGGCAATATTTTTAAAAAATTCCAGAATTTTCCCTAGTTTGAGAATTGTGGTATTTGTTCTAGAAGTATCTCCATCTTTTCTTAATTTATTTACCACCTCCTCCAAGAAATACGAAATTTAAGATAAATTACTCATTATAATGTTGTCATTACTCAGGCAAAGCATAATTTTTATAGCCATCAAATTTTTTTTGGGTTATACAGCCATCAAATAGAAAATCAGCCCCATCTTACTATGACCTCCTGTTGCTTCCTCTCTTTCAAAACTTGCAAATATTTTTTTCTGATGTTTAATACTATATTATTTATAACCAATAGAAAGCTAAAGTTTTAATCTATCAAATGATGTCATATATTACATTGTTTACTGTACTAAGAATTGTCTATTTCACTTCCAGTTCGAACTTTATTCCCATGAAAAACACTTTGACGAAGTTAGCTGAATTTTTAATGGCTCTTGTCACGTAATTAGAACGCCAGACAAATTGTGATAGTTGTAGGATATTGTTTGATTTTTACAGGATATTATTCTGTGTTCTTTGGTGCATTATTTAAAAAAATAAACAATTTAGTGCAATAGTACCATTAGTATAAAAAAGTAAGGTTTAAGTTTTGTCAACAGCAAAGAAAAAATGACCCAGTTAAGTGCCATATTTTTTTTTTGTATTTATTCTTCATTATTATTATAAAAATAACTAAAATGTAATATTTAGAAACCTTTTAATTAGGTAAAATAAGGAATAATATTAAGTTTTCATAAGGTACACTTGTAAGTAGCATGTGCATTACATAATTTGATATAAGGTGGAAGTGATTTACACCTTGTGTTGTGGGAATATTAGTTAGACACAAAGCAATAAAATTTAAGTACAAACAGTTGTATACTATTAAGAATTTAAAGCTATTTAGGATAAACAAATTTAGTTTTGTGTTACAGTTTGAAGTTATTCTAGTAAGAAAAAAAGGTAATTTATATTTATTTTGTGGGGGGGGGGGTAGGTAGTTTGTTATCTTTACCAAACTCGTATAGAGTTAGGGAAGAGAAGATAATCAATAAAATATGAAGTTTTATGGGGTAAAAATGTTTGAAGTTTATTTAGGTTTTACAGACTACACAAACAAAAATCACTTTGGCTCGAAATATTCGTGGAGAAACTGTTAGTGGAAATACTTCATTAAAAATTCTGATTTTATTGTCTACAAATGATTATTAATGTTTATATAAAGATTGCGAAATTTTGTGGAGATACAAAAACCATATTAGAAGTTATCTTATGGAAACTGAATGTCAATATTTAGGTCGAATCAACTGAGCCTGTATGGAGATAGTTAAAAGCAGTAAACATAGACTTAAAACAACTCAATAGTTAGATTACCAGACTGTTGAGATGATTTTTTGTAGCTCACGTCATGTTACCACTAAAATATAATAAAAGTTACTGTCAAACCCCACTATACAGTCTGACTTAAGTAGATCATGAGTTGGTAGTGGATGTAGTCTATGATTTCAAAATTAGGGACAACTATTATAGATCCTTGTGTAGCTTTACAGGAAAGTCAACAAACAAATGTAGAATTTGGCTATATTGTATGTGTGGGTAAGTTTACTGGTAAAAACCCAGGCTCTAGGATTTTAACTTATACAGGTAAGTTTAGCAGTGAGAAACCTAAGTTTTAGTGTTGGTAAGTGCATTAGTAAGGGACCCAAATCTTCACAGCATAACATACACAGGTAAGCTTAAAAGTGACAAAACATAGAATGTGGTATTACGGAATACATAGATAAGTCTGGTCTGTAATACAAGATTAATGGTATCTTGAAGTCGCTGACCTTGCTGTTTAGTTAACAGTTGTATGTCATCTGCACCTTGCAGTAACTGACCTTGCTGCTTAGTCAACAGTTGCATGTCATCTGTACCTTGGAGTAACTTACCTTGCTGCTTAGCTAACAGTTATGTCTCATCTGTACCTTGGAGTAACTGACCTTGCTGCTTAGTCAACAGTTGCATGTCATCTGTACCTTGGAGTAACTGACCTTGCTACTTAGTCAACAGTTGCATGTCATCAGTACCTTGGAGTAACTGACCTTGCTACTTAATCAACAGTTGCATGTCATCTGTACCTTGGAGGAACTGTCCTTGCTGTTTAGTCAACAGTTACATGTCATCTGTACCTTGGAGGAACTGTCCTTGCTGTTTAGTCAACAGTTACATGCCATCTGTACTTTGGAGGAACTGTCCTTCCTGTTTAGTCAACAGTTGCATGTCATCTGTACCTTGGTGGTCACTGACATGGATATTTCGTGCATGAGTATGGGAACAGCCTTATATGTGCCTTTGAAGCCACTGGCCTGGCTGTTTACTCCACGAATACATTAAGATATCATTTAAATTGAGAATTCAAATTCTAGAAAACGTTTTTCAGTGAAATAACTAAAAATTAAGATGTTATTGTACTTAAGCAATCAGTTAAAATAGTTTTTTAGTCAAAAAATATTAAATAAATATCATTAGATAAATTAATTGTTGTACCTATAATGTAATATTTTCAACCATTAATTAAATAATACTTTATTGAGCTTATCTTGTATTGGAGAAGTCTGACACTTATTCTTTACTTGTATGTCATGCAATATTATTTCTTATAGGAGCTGATGGAAAGTTTAATCGAGGGGATGCTGATGGATCGACAGTAGCCACAACCTTATCTCAGGGTCAAGCGACAGGTCAAACTCATGGCCATCCTTTTCTAAACCCTGCTGCACTGCCCCCAGGATATGGATATTACTTTCCAGGGATGATGCCAGGCAGCATGCATCAATATGGAACTCCATTTATCCCAGTAAGTTCAGTCATAGCTACAGTTGTGTGTGTTTAGTTTCAGGTTCAGACTGTTTGTGTACAATTTATTGTTTTCAGGATATTGGTATTACTTTCCCAGAATGATTCTGGAAAGCATGCATCAGTATGGAGCTCCTTTTATCCCTGTAAGTTTGGAATTGTAGCTACAGTTAGCCATTGTTTGTGTTTATTGTTAGCTATTAGCCCAAAGTAACAATAGAAATTTGTATGGTTTATAGTTAGCTGTTAGTTCAAAGTAACAGTAAACATTTGTATGGTTTATAGTTAGCTGTTAGTTCAAAGTAACAGTAGACATTTGTATAGTTTATTGTTAGCTGTTAGTTCAAAGTAACAGTAGACATTTGTTTGGTTTATTGTTAGCTGTTAGTTCAAAGTAACAATAGACATTTGTTTGGTTTATTGTTTGCTGTTAGCCCAAAGTAACAGTAGACATTTGTTTGGTTTATTGTTTGCTGTTAGCTCAAAGTAACAGCAGACATTTGTTTGGTTTATTGTTAGCTGTTAGCCCAAATTAACAGTAGACATTTGTATAGTTTATTGTTGGCTGTTAGTTCAAAGTAACATTAGACATTTGCACGGTTTATAGTTAGCTGTTAGTTCAGAGTAACAGTAGACATTTGTATAGTTTATTGTTGGCTGTTAGTTCAAAGTAACATCAGACATTTGCACGGTTTATAGTTAGCTGTTAGTTCAGAGTAACAGTAGACATTTGTATAGTTTATTGTTGGCTGTTAGTTCAGAGTAACAGTAGACATTTGTATAGTTTATTGTTGGCTGTTAGCCCAAAGTAACAGATGTTTGTGTATTTTTTTACTGTCTGATTTGATAGGTTCTGTATAGGTTACTTCCTTTACTTCACTCTTAGTTGATTTTCTTTCTAACCCTATATGGTCTTCTGAATTGGGCACAACTTTCATAGATAATCGTAAACAATAATATACATTTTTAGCCTTCAAGCTTGCTTTTAACACTGAGATATACACAAGACAAGTCAATCCCACATGTCACACCTTCCTTGATTCTCTGATATTTGCTATTGAGTTATTTATAACCAATAAAAAAAGATTCCACTTTACTCAATTTCTATAAAGCTAGCACATTCCATAAGGATTCTGAAATTTTTGTCCTCAGTATTTGGTATTGTGGAGATCACTTTTACTAACCAAAGAAATCTTTAACTCCTGTATATCTTTGTCAAAAAGCCAGGTAATTACAGCAGTTTTGGGACATTCTTTTTTTCTGTGCATGATAATATTTTATATTTCTTATTTGAAATATAAATTATTTCATGTACTACACACATCTCTGTCAAAAGATTCATTGGGTTTTTGAGAGCAAAAAATACAATAGCCCACAAATAAGTAATTAATTTTCTCATTTTATACATATATTTTTTAGTTACTGTTGTGAAAATTTGAAATTTAGCAAGTTATAAAGGTAAACTTAAATGACACAAAAACTTAATTTTAAAAAATTGCTTCCGATAACATATGTCCATTGTAAAGTAATGTGCAAAGCATAATTGTAATTTGACCATGTGTGTGTGATGGTAACTCAATCCTTTATTTACACAAAGCTGTCTTGCCATGATAAACTGCTTTTACCGTACTTTGAGAGGGTCTAGGTGCAGCTGTAAAGCAATAAAACTATATGATCTCTAGATTTGAAAAGTCTTGTCTTTGGCTGAAAGACTAAATAGTGTGTTATTGTTTAATACAATATGCAGTCACTCTAGGAAGGAAGAAAGGTTTAATTTATTTTATATTTTTCAACTTTTCATTTTACCCCACATTGCAGAGTTTGCCACAGTTAAGTGTTAGAGTACAGAAAATAATAGATAAAGTTCTACTTAAAAAAAAACAACAACTAACTTTTGATACATACATAGGTGGCTCTATGGTCGGGAAAATTAAATACAAAAACTGTAAGATGAAGAAAATAATAATAATTATATGTGTAACATGAAAATCATCTTGCATTCAGCTTCATAAATTCAGACAAGTCTTTAGTGAAAAATCTGATTTGTTATGTATAACAGATATGTTATGACTAAAAGCTTGGAATGTATAGTTTCATCATCACATATGGTATACAAGTCCAGTATATGGAGAGTTAACTCTCCTGTACATTCTAAGATCTGTTTTTTCTCTGGTGTAAGCAGGTTTTGATGTTGACTATTTGTTGCTAGAAATATCTTTCATATTTCAAGATAGATTTACATTTTTTTGGAATGAAGATTTGAAGTATGTATTTTGATATTTCTTTTCGTTAGGTCCCGCCTGCAACAAATGCCCATGGTGTGTCTACCAACACTCAGTTTCAGAAAGCTTATGGTTCACATTCATACACTTCAGGTTTGTATCATTGGCACAATATTGTTCATTGCATTAACCTTGTGCCAGAGACAGATAATGACTAACAAATGAAAACAACATGATAGTAATAATTAATTATTCAGGATTACAGTTCTTGTTTCATTAATTATCTTCACTAGAACATCTTGAAACTGTTTAACTGTTACATCTTGGATTAATTCATTATAGCACCTTGAAACTGTTTAACTGTTACATCTTGGATTAATTCATTACAGCACCTTGAAACTGTTTAACTGTTACATCTTGGATTAATTCATTACAGCACCTTGAAACTGTTTAACTGTTACATCTTGGATTAATTCATTACAGCATCTTGAAACTGTTACATCTTGGATTAATTCATTACAGCACCTTGACACTATTTAGCTGCTACATCTAGGATTAATTCATTACAGAACTTTGACACTATTTAGCTGCTACATCTAGGATTAATTCATTACAGCACCTTGACACTATTTAGCTGCTACATCTAGGATTAATTCATTACAGAACTTTGACACTATTTAGCTGCTACATCTAGGATTAATTCATTACAGAACTTTGACACTATTTAGCTGCTACATCTAGGATTAATTCATTACAGCACCTTGACACTATTTAGCTGCTACATCTAGGATTATTTTATTACAGAACTTTGACACTATTTAACTGCTACATCTAGGATTAATTTATTCATTACAGTCAGTTGTCTTCACTTAGTTACCACATCTAAGGTAATACTCACTAGACTTGTGTAGGTATTCTTGACTCTCACTTACTTATTGGTAGAGATTTATAAAATGTTACGTAATTTAGTTGTTAAAATGGTCGTACCATTCAGTTGTTATTGTACAATATTAAAATAATGACCTCTATTGGTCACCTTAACTTGCAACAATTTAAACCAAGAACAAGGTTAAAATGGTGTATTACTGATACCATTCTGTTGCTATTGTACAATATTAAAATAATGACTGATATTGGTCACCTTAGCCTACGACAGTTTAAGCCAGACACAAGACTACTCGAAGAGTGCCTATAGTGCTGGGTCACAAGGTCAAGGAAAGGGAGTGACAGGATCATGTAAGATGTTTATTATTTGTGTGTTGTTCACATATAAAAACCTTTCCACTGTAAAAGCAGTGTTCATCTCCTCTAGTGATTTTTACTACATTATTTTCAAGCCACTAAAAGAAGATACATATGAATTTTTTGTAATGTCATTTTCATTCATCTTTTAGTAGCTTACCAAAATAATTTGTAACATTTTTAGGGTTATTTTCTCTCTTGGTTATGTAATTTATTCATCTTGATACATACATATTAAACTACGTTCAGAACTTTTAAGTATTGATAAAAAATCTTGTATTATTGTGACAGTTTTGTAAAGTTTTAAATGTTAATAGTTCATGCCCTGTGGAACTATTTTAAAGTTAAATCTTAATACTTAAATATCAAACCATTTGTTCTTACTTGCTGTGGGATCAGCTCTCTGTGAATATCTTAAAATCCTATATTTTGCTGCATCATAAGTTATGGTAGATGCTGTTAGTTTTTAATTATGATTTAATGTATACCTCTTGATTCCAGCTGAAATGATGATTTCTGTAACACTAATTCTTTGTTTGTTTTTTGTTTATGGAATGAACAGTAGCTGGTACAACAGATCTTGGTGCTTCCATGTACAACAAAACTCATGCTCAACTAGCAAAGGTAATTACTTAGTTTTTCTTTGGCTACATTAGATTTAACAAGATAACATTAGAGCTGAAGGGTGGACAGTTTTGAAGACTAGAAAAAATTTGTCGGGTCTGTTCAATTCCCCAAACACCTGTTGTGTCTGTTCAATTCCCCAAACACCTGTTGTGTCTGTTCAATTCCCCAAACACCTGTTGTGTCTGTTCAATTCCCCAAACACCTGTTGTGTCTGTTCATTCCTCAAACACCTGTTGTGTCTGTTCAATTCCTCAAACACCTGTTGTGTCTGTTCAGTTCCTCAAACACCTGTTGTGTCTGTTCAGTTCCTCAAACACCTGTTGTGTCTGTTCATTTCCCTAAACATGACTTCCTGTTGCATTGATAATTATAACAGTGCTTGTAACTAACTTATTATACAGTACATTTTATTGACCAATGAGGGTAGCAGTTAAAATGTTTTAACTTGGTATTTACGAGTAATATTAATATCGTTAGCTTTTATTATTTCTGTCAGAAAATTTGGTTAAGAGCTACAGTGATGTATCTCTTATGGTTACGTTTCATGAAGTTGCCATTGGAGGAAAATGCTTACTAATATTTTTTTAACATTGTGTGGGGTGTTCCATGGCTACTTCTTTTCACTAATTATATTAGGCTTAACTTTTTTTGTTTTTCAGTCTTTTGACAAGCCTGGATTCCACACGGGTACTCCTCCCCCTTTCAACCTGGCAGGAACACAGACCCCTGGGCTAATGGGAGCTTCTTCAGCTCCTTATGCTCCATTTATTCCTGTTTTGACTCACGGGCAACATCACTCGGCCGTGCTTCACCACCACTTGCCACAGGACTCCCCTCAGCCTGGAGGAACCCCTTCTGGGGGTCCCCAACGAGGAGGTCCCCAAGGGCTGGGGCAGCAGAAAGGACCAGGAGGAACCAAACAAAATTATTCTTATTGGAATCCAAACTAAACATTAGCTAATGGTTAACCATTGGTTAAGCTTTGTTCAGATGACTGGTCATTGTTAGAAGAGGAAGTGGGGTGAAGAAGCTTTGACGTTTTCTCCCCTTACTATAGAGTACATATGTGCTGTATGAAAAGTTTGTCTTTTTTTGTCATTACTGAACTTCAGATTTTGTAGCCTAGAGTTGCTTTCCTTAATATTGCTGGTCATGTCAGGTTCTAGTGTGTGGTAGTTTCTTAAGATTTGTTAGCACAGGCTCCTGAGAAAGCCATTCACAAAATCTGATATTGTGTGATAATTTTATCAGGTTCTTATTGTTTTGTGAAAAAAAATTTCATAAATTTGGTGTATTATTAGAAAATTGTTTGTATTAAACAGAATACCTATAGTGTTATTTACTCTTGATTTTGTTGTAGAAAAGATACATTGTCATAATTCTTGAAGCACTCAAAATGCTTCTTTTAATATGAACTCGAGTTTGTTGAATTTGTAAGTTTTTATCTTCAAATATCGGCATCTCTGAGGTTCAGTTTAAATGTTGTTTTGAAATAGGAAAAAAAACATTATTTAATTGATTCTTTTTGAACATTTTTCGAAATTCAACTATAAGATACCAGATATTTCACAATATGTACATTTCAATTTTTGCCAGGTTTATAAACTCCATTTGCTCACAAACTTTCACCAATAATCTTTACTTCATGTGGCAATTTGTTTATTTTTGAGTGAAGATAATTTTATTAGGAATTATTTTTACTAGGCATCTTCTATCTGTATGTTGTTGTGTACTGCATCTTAAATCCTGTATATGTGTGTGTATATATATATGTGTGTGTGTGTGTGTTTAATTTGTGTATATCTCGATAGGAAAGTCTGTCTATATATATATATATAGATATTGGTGAAACTTTTCAACCCTAAACTACTTAAACAGAGTTAATTTCTGCTTTTGTTTATTCTTCACTTTTGTGGTGACTAATAAAAATATGAACCATGGTATTTGACACTTAGCGTATGTTTGTTCTTAAGTTAACTATTACATCCAATTCATGAAGTTTGGAGAATAATGAAAATCATTCTTTGTGCTTTAATTCTTTATTGTTAATAATGTCTGGGAAGTTTGGGTTCCAACAAGGTACGCTCTCTCTCTCTCTCTACGTACATTTCATTATTACAGAAAAGTGAAGGTTTAGGTTCCAACAAGGTACACTATCTCTACGTACATTTCATTATTAGATAAAAGTGAAGGTTTAGGTTCCCACAAGGTACACGATAGTGTACCTTATTGAAACCTAAACCTTCACTTTTCTCTAATAATGAAATGTACGTAGAGAGAGAGAGCGTACCTTGTTGGAACCTAAACCTTTACTTTATCTAATAATGAAATGTACGTAGAGATAGTGTACCTTGTTGGAACCTGTGTACCTTGTTGGAACCTAAACCTTCACTTTTCTGTAATAATGAAATGTACGTAGAGATATCTCTTTACGTACGTTTCATTATTACAGAAAAGTGAAGGTTTAGGTTCCAACAAGGTACACTATCTCTACGTACATTTCATTATTACAGAAAAGTGAAGGTTTAGGTTCCAACAAGGTACACTATCTCTCTACGTACATTTTATTATTACAGAAAAGTGAAGGTTTAGGTTCCAACAAGGTACACTATCTCTACGTACATTTCATTATTACAGAAAAGTGAAGGTTTAGGTTCCAACAAGGTACACTATCTCTCTACGTACATTTCATTATTAGATAAAAGTTTGCATATTTCAGAAGCCTTCTGTGTGTTATGATTTAAGTTCTATCTGTAGCTACAACCTACCCGTTCTTCTGTGTGTTATGATTTAAGTTCTGTCTGTAGCTACAACCTACCCGTTCTTCTGTGTGTTATGATTTAAGTTCTATCTGTAGCTACAACCTACCCGTTCTTCTGTGTGTTATGATTTAAGTTCTGTCTGTAGCTACAACCTACCCGTTCTTCTGTGTGTTATGATTTAAGTTCTGTCTGTAGCTACAACCTACCCGTTCTTCTGTGCGTTATGTATTTTAAGTTATTTCTAGTGTCTTTGTTTGTTGGTTCATTATTCTTGACTAGAACTTGAAATCCAGTGCTTGTAATTGTTGGCATGGCAGGAAAGTGGAGAGAAACCAGGGTTTGTATGTTGAAAGCCAGCATTGTTATGTTTATTTTTTGTAGCAAACCAGTATAGATCTAATTGTGTTTTGGATAAAGGCAGATGGAGGCAGTCTAAAAACTTGCTATAACATGTTTATCCAGGCATGGGTAGAGTAAACTAATTTTACAGGCAAAGTGAATAGATTTGTTGGTCACAAGAGACTATAAGGTGCAGACTAGGAACTTGGTAAAACTGTCGTTGTGGATTTCTAAAGTGGAAAGTTTAGGATGGATAGTAGTAATGGATAAAGGATTACAAGACCCTAATTTAAGCTTGGTGTATTCAGAGAAAAGTCTTCCAGGTTTGTTATTGACAGTATCATTTCCTTCATCTGGACAGTTGACTAAGAGGTCTTTATGTGGGCTTTAATGGAACAGCTGATCTTCATGTACTGCAGTTGAAAAACTAAGTTTTTAATTTTAGTGGTAAAAAAAAAAGATTGTTCATGGTTTGATTTAGAGGAAGTGTAGACTTTGAAGTTGGGACAGTTACAAGAAATTAGTTTAAAGTCTTGATGACATAAAAATTCATACAGGTATAGGAACTAGCATGAAGTCTTGATAGCAGATGGGTATAGGAAATTAGCATAAGGTCTTAAAGATGACAGAGAAAAGTTCAGACCTTTAGTTAATACTGCTTATCACACCTACTTTTCAGCATTGATTTAAAATATTGTAAAGCAAATCTAAATTTAAATATAAATATTAAATATAAAATTCTACACTATGTTAGTGGTTCATATAAATGTGGCAATCATTTTCTCATGGAATGGTTTATGCTGGGAAGGACAGTTTATAATATTTCATACACTACTGGAACATATGGATCAGATTCCAACTTATAGTAAACAAAGCTAATAACCTGGTTAGAATCAACCTTGATTCTGTAGCTTCAAGAAGCATTATTGAACTTCAGTTCTGGTCTGTCTTGTTTACCATAACTTGTACCTCTTCAGTTCTAGTCTGTATTGTTTACCACCACTTGTACCTCTTCAGTTCTGGTCTGTCTTGTTTATAACACAGACCAGAACTGAAGAGGTACAAGTGGTGGTAAACAACACAGACCAGAACTGAAGAGGTACAAGTGGTGGTAAACAACACAGACCAGAACTGAAGAGGTACAAGTGGTGGTAAACAAGACACACCAGAACTGAAGAGGTACAAGTGGTGGTAAACAAGACACACCAGAACTGAAGAGGTACAAGTGGTGGGTTTACCACCACTTGTACCTCTTCAGGTCTGGTGTGTCTTATTTACCACCACTTGTACCTCTTCAGTTCTGGTCTGTGTTGTTTACCACCACTTGTACCACTTCAGTTCTGGTGTGTCTTGTTTACCACCACTTGTACCTCTTCAGTTCTGGTGTGTCTTGTTTACCACCACTTGTACCTCTTCAGTTTTGGTCTGTCTTGTTTATCACCACTTGTACCTCTTCAGTTCTGGTCTGTTTTGTTTACCACCACTTGTACCTCTTCAGTTCTGGTGTGTTTTGTTTACCACCACTTGTACCTCTTCAGTTCTGGTCTGTCTTGTTTACCACCACTTGTACCTCTTCAGTTCTGGTCTGTCTTGTTTATCACCACTTGTACCTCTTCTGACCAGCATGTTTTACATTACTTTTAAATAGAAAATTTTATTAAAGTGCTTCTCAATCAACACAGTTCTCTAACTATGTAACCAAATGATTAATCAATACAATTTTGTTTAATGCAAACTGGAATTTATTGATACATTTCTATTAAGGTAAATAACCTTTATTTCCAGAATGTATCTTTATTAACTCAGTATTTCACTATTCCAGCATCATCAGCAGATACAAATTCCAGTTTAGTTTAACTGTATTAGTGAACTTGTAGGATATTGATATCTCCTGACGAAACTGGAATAGTGAAATATTCAGCTAATACGGATACATTCTGGAAATAAAGGTCGTTATTTTATATACTCTAATACATTTTCCAACACTTGATTCACAGTGTCACATATGCTACCGGAGATATTTCCTACAATGTGCTTTTTCTTTAAGAGAAATCATCCAGGTAAATACAGCTGTGAGAATAAATGATATAAAACAAAAGTATACACAGTTTGACAAAAATATCTTCGTACATGAGAATTTAAAAATATTAAAATTACACGACTAGCTTCAACAATCATTAAAACCTCATGGAAAAGACTGTTGTTTCTGAAATTGTTTATTTACAGTTAGATGTAGCTAAGTAAACTGGTACACAAATAAATCACATCTGGAACGTATTTAAACAGGAACTACTGAGGAAATGGTGGTCTTCCATTCAGGATAAGAATGTTGACTGGATGAATAAGACCTGAAACTGAATACAGTCCACCCTACAATCACAGACAGGGTAAACTTAGTGTACTAGTTTTTACTTTGATTGTATTTGAAACTAATATTTTTTCTAAATTAATTTCTGTTATCACCTTCCAAAGTTTCCAACAAACTATCAGAATACACTTTATTTTTCATCCTATAACATGTTGCATTTAGTTCAGTATATTAGCACCACCATCAAACCCCCCTCTTCCAAAAAACAGATTCTTTGCCTAATTCCTTGTGGTTCAGAAGAGATTTAAGTTGTTTAGGGAGTGCCATTCCATAATGCTTCCAGCATCACGTAGCTTCTACTAACACACAATACACGGAAGAAAACCAGATGGGTGGACTTCACTTTAAGACTGTCATTGCTGGCTATACGTTTCTCTTGCACTAACACTTTGATCTGTTGTCCAGCTTGTGGGATGCTTGTCCAGTTATCTTCCACAGAAACTCCGACCCAACCTGTGTAAACGTTCAGGCTCTGAACTACTGTGTCGTTTGTGTAGTGAAAACTGAGAATAAATAAAGAAAAACCAATAAGTTTTCTTTACAAAGATGTAAGACTAATATCATAGATTGTATGCAGATAAACTGAGGAATTGTCAACGTTGTTTAGTGAAAATATAGACACTAGTTTACCACTGTGTGTACAAATATGTTGGGTCATTGAACTTGACCTTTATTTTCTTTAAGTATTCAAAATTTCATGGCTTTTTTTTTTCTGAATAATGGTCAATTTTGAGTTAAGTCATCCAAGTTTCTACTGGGGAAGAAAAATGTTTGCACAAAAAACATTAAAAAAAAATTGGTAGAGAATGACTTACACTTTCTTGTAGTTGTTTAATAATGTATGCAACATCTGGTCTGTCAGAAGGGGTGTGAGACCAGCACTGGAGGATTAAACTCTGCAAGAAGAAAAAATAGTTTAGATGCAAGTTAACTCAACTTGTCATGTTCAATTAGGTATGTTAAATATGCTTTAATTTTGGCACTTTACAAGAGTTAGCCTTCAGAGTGATGATTACTAGGAACACCAATATCAAACATTTAAAGGAAAAATCAGCTGTTGTTGAAACAACACGAGAACTATGAAAAAACCCTACCTTTAGTCCATTTGTACATTTTAGGTTACTAAGACATTGGCGTCTTCCAGTGGCTATTAACCAAACGACAGAATGAGGAGGTATTTCGCTGAATGGGAAGTACTCTGCAAGAAGTTCATACACTATGGACCTAGTAAAAACAAGCAGGTCCAAATTAACCACAAGGGACTGTTAGTAACATAAACAGTATCTTGTACTTTTCTCGTTCTTATTGCAACCTTCATAATGCCGTTTTAGCCTTAAAAGGTTTTCACAATCTTTTACTATTTTTACCAATAAAATGGTGATGAACATAATTTTTTTCCTGGATATACTCACCCAAATGCAAATATGTCCGTTTCTTTTGTGTTGGACACCGTGGAGTAAATTTTAGGAGGTTCAATCTGCAAGTTTCGCATTAATTCTGGGCTGAGGTAAGCCAGATGACCACGTGGAACACAGCCATACTCTGCCCTGAAAGTCGAATGATATAAATATAACATGTTTTCAGTAACAGGTACTTTGAAACCCAATATATCCTCTGCTTACAGTGAAATCCATGTTGATACCTTTTGTATCCAAGATGTTTTAAGGAGAAAATTGTTAGGGTGTGTGTACATAAGAGACAGAAAATTATTAACTAGTAACATTCATTCTACAGGTTAACACTCTTACCTTTCACAATATGTTAAATCATTAGGCTTAGAACGTTGGAAATGTTTAACACTTCTCTTAGCTAGCATGATGCACGTTTCTAGTACTCTACTTGTGTGGTGCATTAGTCTACCTCACTAGAAACCGGGTTTCGATTCCCGTGGTGGGCAGAGCACAGATAGTCTATTGTGTAGCTTTGTGCGTCTTAAACCTAACCTACCTCAGAGGATTGATATCAGAATCCACCAGGCCCGGTGTATTACAACACTGTTTTAGTTGAAACATTTAAACCTGGCAAATGTGAAACATTGTGTCGTATCATAGGTCACTAACTACCTCTAGTTAAGCGTTACTGGCCAGATCCAGGAAGTTTCCTGTGCAATAATAATGTTATTACCCAAGTCCAGAATATTAACCCATTACAAAATGTTTCTTGTATAGATAACGATGTTACTGTCTGAAATATTTATGATATAGATTAATTCTAGAACCTTACCTATCCAGTCTGGAGTCCGGCATTCCCTGATCCATGAGACACAATTTCACGCGGCTCTCGAGGATCACGTTTCTGGAGTTCAGTTTCTTGTGAATTATTCCTTTGGCGTGGAGATATCCCAGTCCCTGAGTGTTATAAAATTACTTCATAATCAATTATCTCAAACGTATTGTCAGATATTCATAAAGTTACTTCATAATTATCTCAAACGTATTGTCAGACATTCATAAAATTACTTCATAATTAATTATCTCGAACATATTTGTGATATTATATACTACTGCTGTTTGGTTCTGTATTCTTTATAAGGCAACAAAAAAGTGTAACATTGTTCTGATGATATAACTTATATGAAAGGCAGAACAGTTAAATGTTCCTTAAAATTCTGACGAATTACTACTAGTTGCTAGCCTTACGTTTGTATACTTTTAAAAAACACTGACATTTTGCTTTCTGGGTGAGAATCTTTTTTTTTTAGTAGTTGTTCTTATATTTTTCTAAATATCAAATCTTATTTGAAAGTATGTATTGCACAATTATTTATTATAATTACTCTGATAAAGTTGCCTTATTCAGCATCTCACCTGGGCGATTTGTCGGGCTATGCTGATTTTAGTGAAGAATGACAGTCTATGATGCTTGATGTGAATGTGTTCGAACAGTAGAGGTCCCTTCCTCATACTAACACAAATATATACACAAAATACAATATTTAGGCTTAAAAACAATTCTACATTTATTGAAGAAATTAACATTTTAATCAGTTCCATATTTGTTTCCAAAATTACCAGCTGTTTCATAAAAAAAGCATACTACATTTCAGAAATATCTTCAAAATATAATCAATCTGATAACGCATGTTATTTAAAAGTTATTTATATGTTGCATATTAATTTATTGGCAGTTATATTAGGGTTCCATTCATATTAACACCAGTTCAACGTCTAACAGTGATAGGAACAATGAATATTTCAAGAAATTAGGCCTAACCTTTAATAGAACCGGCACGTTTTACTACATTATATTGAAACGTCAAAGAATATTACATTTTATTTGCCCTAATTGATTATGTATTCCTACAGCATGTTTTCTATAATCTGTTATGGAGCGGTCTTTGATGAATTAATTTATACTTCCTCTGTTCCAGGACCCTGGTATTTCTGCTTGAATCATAATGGTTAGTAATTACTCCAAAATTATTGTTTTAACAAGCCTAGAAATTAACGTATTATATATAAGTCAAAAGACGTATTATTCAAATTTTGCATTTAACTCCTAAATACGTTATTTCATTTCAGTGTAAAGTTTATATACCGTGTACTCTGGTTATAATCTCGTAATCTGAATTTGAAAAAAAAAAAAGATTAACATTCATCACACACAAAAAAACGGATTCATGCTCAGATGAGTTTTGTGTAAAAAATAAAATCGATTTGATATATCAGTTGAAACACCGGGTTTGCAGTAAACGTCCATCAAAGGGATTTACCAGATACAAATTTTTCTTGTTTTTATTTCTAAAGAACACGTAAAACTCTTAATAGAGAATAAACAAAGAGTAATCGCGCATTTGGCATAACAAAACTACAGCTAAAGAATTAGGGTAGAGAGCAGTGCAGTAGCACGGCTGTCTTTTACTATTAGACTATATTGTTTTATTAAAAACAATTATATGTGAGAACCTAAAGTGATCTGAATTACAGGAAAACTGTATGTACAAATATTACGTGCATTTCAACATATGTCAGACCAAGCGATTTCACCAACCTTGTGATAACGGCAAGTTGAGGCGGGTCTATACATGCACCCATGAAAAGAACTACGTTTTCGTGACGTATCATGCTCAGCTGCGTGACATCATCCAAAAACTGACAAAGTTCTGTTTGTCTTTGTTGTCTGAAAGTGTAGATCAACACTTCACCATGCCAACGTCCTCTGGAATTGACGACAACAAGAAATTTTACTAAACCTGAGATGCACCAGTTATGTCCTGTAATTAATGATAAAATATATAAAACATTCAATTATTTAGATTGTTGATAATGACGGCGAAAGAAATCTGAAATTTGAGTATTTCTTCATTTTCAAGAAAACAAATATTAATAATTTCATAACGTTTTGACCTAGCATGAACTGGTGATTAGGGCGCTCGAATCGCAATCTAAGGGTCGTGGTTTCGAATCCCCGTCATACCGTATATGCTCACCCTTTCAGCCGTGTTATGGTCAGTCCCACTATTCATTGGTAAAAAGAGTAGTCCAAGAGTTGGCGGTGGGTGGTGTTGATTAGCTGCCTTCCCTCTAGTTTTTCACTGTTAAGTTAGAGAGGACTAACGCAGATAACCCTTGTGTAGCTTTGCGCCAAATTCAAAACAAACCAAATCACCAATTTTTGGTTTCTTTTACCTGCTATTTATTGTATGATTTAATAACAACTTTTATAATTTCTCAGTTGCAGAATTGTACATTATATAGTAGAAATAAAATTCCATTCACAAACTTACCGGTAGATGTCACCTTGACGTCCGTGCCTAAGTCGCTGGCCAAACTGAAGATCATTAAATGGTATACACCATTCCCCTAACGTTTCTCTTGCATCTGTTCTCTGCGTTCTATGTGCAAAATAATTTGTTTATGTCTTATTGTTGTAAAAAAAAAAATCTTATAATTTTGAAAATACATAAATGACCAATCACCCATAACATGTTATTAGCGTGACAGTTTCCTTCAGGGTTCACTTAGTATTGTAACAAATTATGTTTATTATATGTATTAATAATACGTTTTCTAATTTGACGTTAAAGTATTACACTTTATTTAGCAGGAATAAAATTTGCTTCGCGAAATATAACTGAAAATGTCACTCATCAGACTAACACATATATATATATATATATTGTAATACTAAGCGAGACCGTAAGTTTCACAAAGTTGACCTAATTATTGTTTGATGTTTACTTTTATAATGACTCCATTATGTTGCCCAGTTTTTGTATATTAATTTTATAGGTATAATCATATCAGATCCATATGCAATGAAATAATATTAATTCAAAGAGTTTCCGTTGTAAAAATAACCCGTCACTTTTTACACTACTATTTTCTATAATTAATATTATACTTGCATTTTGATTAATAATGATAAAAATATTTTTTCGACGGCACTTTTTCAATCGAAAGTTACGAGTGACGTTTTTATGCATATTAGTTAACGAAGAAGCAAACATATATACTGTCTAACCTTTTTCAATAAGGACAAATATATCAAATGCATAATTTTAATAATAAGTTGGCACCTTATTCTAGAATGCTTATGAAAGAGAAACACTCCGTAAAAATAAAATTCCACGCAATAAAATAAAAACTTACTGAGACGAGCACTCGTCCTGGTCTTCACAGTCTCCAATACCGGATTCTGAGTCGTCATCAATAAGGTCGTCTGGAAAAATAATAAAATGTTGTTCTAAAATTACTTCAGACAATTTTAATTTGAAACTTTATTGTTTAATAATTCAACTCAAATTCGCATTTTGAAACACATATATGAATGTAATTTGTACAATTATTGATGCTAGTGCTTTTATGTTTTCAAGAAGTAAGAAAAGTTTATTTAGGCCCTAGCTTTCCGATTGACAGAGAGGAATTCGAAGAACTGTTTCTCAGACCGAAGGCCATGGATTAAACAAACGTGTTTTGTTTCTTTAAGCTAATTTAAACATAGAGGCTCGCTTTCACAAAAAAATAAAAGTAACGTACTCATAAAAAGTTCGGAAATTTTTATATTTTATTTTGTTTATGCTCAGTTATAGGTGGTTGATGTGTTTTGTTGTTTTCTCGATTAACATTATTTATATTTATTTTATGTTATTTTTTGCCTTCCGTAATAATAGCGGTTAAACCAAGTTTTCACCTTTTCCGGAAAATAGTAGCAGAAGACAGTTCTTCTTATTACTTTGGTTAGGGGAGAATGCTCGCTCTTTACGAAACTATCAGCATATCATAAATACATTAACAACATTATCCAGCATATAACAGTAATAGTAAGTGAGTTATTTAAAAGTAAATCTTGTGTTGCATATAATTACATGATAGAAATATTTGCAACAGGTTTATACTATAGTAACACTAGCAGGAAGCGTTTAAAGAAATTAGGCCTAACCTTTAAAGAGGTAAGTTTGAATTGGTAATGATAGAAATTTGATAAATAACGATTTATAAGCATAATAAAATGAATTAATTTTTTGGGAACGTACTACATGTTTTGACAGAAAATTGATTATGATACCTGAAGAAGACAGACCAATATTCTGTCGAAACAGGTAGTATGTTCCCCCCAAAATAAAACACCCAATAAATACCATGAGTTGTGCTTCACATCATTTATAGATTAGATGTACACCGTTATTGGATAATTAAACGATCAGGCCTAATAAACAGTATTAATTACTTTAATTAAATCGTCAAAAGTCGTTAACCACTAGCTATTCATTTTGTTTTTATGACGTCGAAAATATTTCTGTGTGACAGTAATGATAGTTAACTTATTTTGTTGCATGTAAATACATATATTTTCTATCCATAAGTATACTCATATCAACTAGTTTTTTTATGATCCCATACAAGATTGTCATTATTACAAGTTTACTAATAAAGTACAGTTACTAAGTATTACGAGTGTTACAACAGGCTGAGAAAACAAATTCCGCTCTATTGTAGAACCTTTTGATATTTTGTATAAGCAATGAACTTTAGAACGTCGTACCGAGACAGATTTTTGGCCAAGCCTCTCTTTCAAAAATATAAACTTACCCAGTGAGCTGACACGTACGTCGTCAGGGGGCCATGTAGAACAGAGCCTGTGTGATGGTGAGCTTTTGTTTTCTATACTAAGAGTTCTTGCTTTAGTCAACCACCTCTTAGCACATCGCCCTTGTGGATTGATACACTGGTTGTGATTACAGTTTACATCAGGAAGTTTGGTGTCGGACATCAAGGAGGCAGATGTAGCACCACCACTAGAAGAAAAGCACGAAGATCGAGTTTCATGGTAAGTTTTATCCAACCAAAGAGGAATTCTGTCGTTAACCCTAATACGATAATCGGATTCCGTATCGGAAGGAGTCTGAGCAGCGGAAGAGGTGGACGACAGACAGCTACTAGAAGACAAACTGCCATTTGGGGAGATGAGAGATGCGTGAATGGTTGATTGACTTGAAGTGATTGGCAGGTGATTCCACCCACAGGTACAAGCTCTGGATGAGCAAGTTAAACTTAAAACAGCACTATTAGATCTCGGACAGTTTTTCAAGAGTGCCTTTAATTTTTTGCGGGTTTGTTTTTCACTTAAGTTGCCTTGGTTCAACCCATATTTTGCTTTGGCATGTTTATCGGCAGCGTTTGCTTTGCTCATTTCACGATTTCTGCGTCGCTGAGCAAGCCAGTGCACTACTTTTTGTAAGCTTGATAAAGCAAAAGAACCATTGGTGTTCCCACTAGATGGCGATGGTTTTACCTCTATGTTGTAAATATAATTTGCCGACATACGTGGCTCGTTACTTTCAGTTGTATCCAAAGATATGACGTCAGTTTTTTCAGTGTCCGGGTACCATTTTACATCAGTACTTTTACCTACAAACAAAAAGTTAATTTGACAGAGATAAATAACAACTCAGGATGTATGTAGAAGGTAAACTTTCTTCACAGTAATGTCATGAATAAAATATAGATAGTTTTAACTATACGTGGAGACCCTGACAAAGCCTTCATGACGAAATTTTGAGCATATTTTCAAGACTTGATGTAAAAAAGATAAAAAAAAATATTTTATTTTCAAGCGCTAAAAAGATGGGTGATAAAGGACTCCAGGTATGGGGCAGAATTATGTAATAATTTGGAACTATTATATCGCGATATATACAACTTACAGTATATCATACAAGTTTCATACTTCGAAGTCATGCAATTTAAAAGCTTAAGCCTAACTTACTGACCTAACAATTTTTTTCTTTTGCTTGTAAACATGTCACAGTTATTTCTTTTTTAAAACTCGGGTAGATATAGTCAATTTTAATGTTTCCTATTAGAAACATCATAATAAAACAGTGGTAATGCATTTAGCCATCTAGTGGTGAGTTAGTTGAACTAACTTTTCGAAATAACGAAAAATCTCAGACATGTTCTCAGTTACAAACATTGTAAAATGTATGTCTGTAAATCAAAACACGAAATAGGTGATTCGTAAAAGTACTTTCTCTCAAAAGTCTCCAAATGTTTACTTTTAATTCTTCGCAAGGACAATAAATATTGACATTAAATTATGTTATTTATAGATATTCAAGTTAAGTGGCCTTCACTTACTACACGACAACATACTATGAAAGGTAATGTTGTGTGTGTATATATAGAAATGAAACAAAATGTATCATTCCTGGAAAAACACCAGTAACAAAAACTGTTCGTTTGGTCCACGTAACCCTGTCGATAGGGGACATTGACAGTGTTCGTTTGGTCCCCGTAACTCCGTCAACAGGAGTCATTAACAGTGTTCGTTTAGTCCACATAACTCTGTCGACAGGGGGACATTAACAGTGTTCGTTTGGTCCCCGTAACTCTGTCGACAGGGGGACATTAACAGTGTTCGTTTGGTCACCGTAACTCCGTCAACAGGAGACATTAACAGTGTTCGTTTAGTCCACATAACTGTCGACAGGGGACATTAACCCATTTTTAACGATAGAAATGAGCCATATTTACTCTTACCTCTGGCTAGGGGCTTCTGAATGGCGCTCCTGTGACTATTTGTGTTGCTATAGCAACATGGTTCCCTCTTTCCTTCGCAGGAGTCGTGCGTGACGTTTCTGTAAAAATACACGTAAAGGGAATAAATCTGTGACCGTCTGTAATCCCAATTTACCGTGAAAACTGACATTAAGTTATAGTAATATTGTAGCAGTAAAAAACTTTATATTTCGGTGATTACTTGTTACAGGTTTTTGTTTAAAGTTTCTTGTGGCTCACGTGCATTAAAAAACGACGGTTGATATATCATGAAACATGCTGGCCCTACCACTGATTCTCATAAATAACGTAACTTATAAAGAAGTATCTACATAGCTGTAAATATCGCTCATAATTAAATAACTGAGAACCTGGCCAGGTGGTTAGGACGCTCGACTCGCAATCTACGGGTCGCGGGTTCGAATCCCCATCACACCAAACATGCTCGCCCTTTCAGCCGCGTTATAATGTTGTGGTGCAATCCCACTATTCATTGGTAAAAGAGTAGTCCAAGAGTTGGCGGTGGGTGGTGCTGACTAGCTGCTTTCCCTCTAGTCTTACACTGCTAAATTAGGGACGGCTAGCGCAGATATCCCTCGTGTAGCTTTGCGCAAAATTAAAAAAAACTGATTTATTTTTAATATTTGGCGTGCGTATATAACCACCTTATAAATTAACTGATTTATTTTTAATATTTGGCGTGCGTATATAACCACCTTATAAATTAACTGACTTATTTTTAATATTTGGCGTGCGTATATAACCACCTTATAAATTAACTGATTTATTTTTAATATTTGGCGTGCGTATATAACCACCTTATAAATTAAAATAAAATAAAATAAAAGTACAGCTTCAGTAGAAACAAATCTAGACAAGTTTCACATACGTAAATATCTTACAATATATATATTTTAAACATTTCAATCAAAATGAAAGCCTGTTTTTACAGTGACATACCCACAATCTTTACATCGGAAGGCTGTAAAATACACCATCTTCTGACAAATTGAACAACGACGAGGTGTAGACAAACTTCTGTATAACCTGTTGATAAAAATGATATATCAGATTATAGGAACTTTCCACCCTACACATAGTTATATTTGTAATTATTTTATTTTTAGTGATGTTTGCCTCTAAACAAAAGCTTTAGGTTATGTAATAAGTATCGATCAAAGATTGATTTATTCTTTAAACTAGGATATATCAGTAAGTTTCATAATAACTCACAGATAGTCTTAAAAAAAGAATGAAACCAAACAAATACATCTGTTCAAACAGGACTACATTAAACATCCGTGCTAGGGTTTTTTTTTTAAATAAGTCCCAAGCAAGCATGTGGATTTAGAATAAACTTTTCAATCAATATCTCAAATACTTCATGCATTTTCATATAGGGAGAATATTTTGATAATGTTCCCATGTGCGCCAGCGGTAAGTTTACGGACTTACAACACTAAAATCCGGGGTTTGACAGAGTGCAGATATCCTATGGTGCACCAAGAAAGAACAACATTTTATAAATGATAAAGTTCGTCTTTAGAAGTTCTAGAATAATTACAATATTCATTTTAACTGTGTTTCGTGGAGTATGTTCAAACTTGACTTGTTCTTAAGAAACTAGTGTATTCACCGTGTGATGTAAATCCCTAAAATTACTCAATGTTTTAAGAATCTCTAAAATTAATATATGTATTTTTCTCCCCGTCAACTCGGTATGTTGACCTGGTGACGATGACAACTTCGGCCTATTGTAAATAAATAGCTGGGCTTATGAATGTAAAATAAACAGGAAATCAGTTAATTAATGACATTTTATCAATAAAGCTAGTAAGAACGACCTTTGCTCTCCAAATAATAATAATTCTTATTTCTGCCAACGTTGCGGGTTCATCAGCGCTTGCAGTACAAGAACTTAGCTCTGATGAACCCGCAATGGCGAAACGTATTTTTAATTACTATCTGAATAGTAAAGGTTGTTTTTCTTTTTTCTATCTCTACTGACAAAATGTTTAAATCCCTCCAGTACAAATTGTGAAAAACCTATGAGACGACTTTCTATTAGTTGAGTTGTGGCGGTCCTGTCCCAAGTCAACAACATGGACATATTTCGATTCGTTTAACCTTACAATCAAAAGTATAATTACGACTCCAATATTACAAACATATAGTTAAAGTTCTTATAAACTGTATAAGCCATCTAGCGGACATTGATTTTTATCTTAATATTTGTTTCTATAATACTAACCTCCACATAGCAAGAAGTTCTCCTCCAAGTCCAAAGTAATATATACACACTGCCAGGTGTTCTCTCTTCCTCACCAACTGAGCACCATTTCCCGCCCTCAGCACATGCCGCTATCGGCTGTGATTGATCGTTCACAAGTAGCGACAGATGGAGGGTGAAAAACAGGTAACATGAAAAGATGTCCGGATGAATACAGCTTGTGTTCTCCAGACTGGAGATAATCAGGCCAGTATTATCACTAGTAGAAATACAGCTCGTGTTCTCCAGACTGGTGATAATCAGGCCAGTATTATCACTAGTAGAAATACAGCTTGTGTTCTCCAGACTGGTGATAATCAGGCCAGTATTATCACTAGT